ACGTTTGCTCTGATCTTTCATGCCATATGAAAGTACGTAGGCACGAAATGCGATATCTCGGCGAGCAACCTTCCCCCCTTCACCCGTAGTTAGGCGAACTACGTTGACTCTGATTTCTCGTTCCAGACGGGAATACGTAAGCATAGAACTTCCATGTTCTGCCGAGTCACTTTTTTCTCTTTTCTTTTCAAACCGACCTTTAGATAGATAGCTTAAACACACCCTTTTCCGAGAAACAACAAGCGTGGATCCCATCGAGTACGATGGACGTGAGGGGTGCTAATACCTTCCCCTTGCGTAACCGACTCCCGAATCCAGGTTTTGGTTGCGATGAGCATTCCTTTCCCGTTTTCGTGAGATTTTCTCTGAGGGTTTCCTTTCCCTCCTTTGGGATAAATAATGCACGGTGGCGACTCTTCTATTTTGCTGGCGCCGATTTTCGCAGTAGCGACACATAGTACATATTTCACACTTAGCAATCAATCAAACAAAAGGTTCCTGTAGAGTACTACAGATACTTAGGGTGCTAACACCTTCCCTAGGTATAACTAACCCCCGATCCCCGAATCTCTTAGCGTTGTTTTACATCTCGAAAAGGGTTTTTCTTTCTTTAGACCTTTCCTTTGGATAAATTAAAGTTCGGTTGTAAAAGAAATAAGGTTCAAGTTCATTAATAGCTTGATATCCAATTTTCACCGCAACAATATCTCTTTTCAAAACTTCAAGACAAATATACATGTTGCATTAACAGTTTCAGAATTAACATTTCATACGTGTTGATTTTTGCTGATGTCATAGAAGGTTTACATACGAACATAAATGTTAAGTTTGTTCTGTTGGAATTTGAAGACTCTGTTGACTTGGGGCAAGTTATTTCCAAGTAGTTACTTTGTGCGAATTTGACTTCGCCTAAAGAGATGTTCTTGAAGACTCAGTCATAATACCATCAATCAGAGCCAGTTACGTCGAGATTCGGCGAATCTCTCCAGAGAGTTTGAAAACAATGGGACGCCATGATTTCTGTAAAATCCTCCTAGAATGACTTCTTCCCATAACCACATGACTCGGGGCATCTGAGAAACGAAGATTATCTTATCCATTCACAATAACTATTATTCAAATGGCGACTATTACGCAATTCATCAAGACATAATTACCTTGTTCTTACAACATTCTTCCTCATGTCCTCGATAAATTTTATTTTTGGTGGTCGTGACAATTCTCCGATGAAGCTTTTAGATGCAGAATTCTCAATGATCTGTTTGACTTCACCTCCTCAATAAAGTGGATGATGTTTAATCCTTAGTGAATCTTCTCCAACTTCACCTTCCTAGCAAAGTGGACGTATTTTACTCCTCAATAGACCTTCTACAACGTCGATCTTCTCCAGCATGAGTCTCTCCAGTAAAGCGGATATTTATTTTATCCATGAAGTTTCTCCAATTATGAGTTTGATCCACCCCTGGTAGATCTTTACTCTCATTTTCAATAGGACAACCCTTCAATGTAAGATCAGGATATTATATCCCCAAGTGGAATGTTCTCTATTCCTCAAGGGAAGTTTTTGAAACCTCGAAGCAGGATGGTGGTCCCGTATCCAGTTCTCCACCTATCCTCAGTGATACTTCTATCTTTGAAGATTGGTCAGATGTTTGTTCTGAGATGTTTCATCTCCGGTTTCCTCCTTTCGTTTGTTTGTCAACATTGGCATAACATATAGATAGACAACATGGCATATACATTCTGCATCCTTTTTGCTTGTTTGTTCTGTCGCTTTGGTCGTGTTTATCCCTGAGTGACTGGGTATGTCTTCTCCTTCCAATTAGAGTTGTCAGCCCTAGGCATAGAAGAGCATACCATTTCTATTTCCCCACAGAGTTTGATCCTCATGGAAGACGGTTATTTTAGTATATCCCATTCGAGTTCATACCTCAATGGTCGAGTCTTGTTTGACAGTTTCTCTTCAGTTACGTCCTGAATTGAACTTCGGTCCTTGACAATCACATTGTAGACATCTCCAAAATGGATTAAGTGTGCATTTATTTTGCACTCGGCTCCCCAAGAAGGGTCTTTATGAAGATAACCATTTAAGATGAATTTTTCTCCAACAACATTACAAGGCTTCCTTAACAATTTTGAGCAACTCGTTTTGATCAAGACTTTATTCAAGGTGATAAAGATCAATCTCTTCAAGACATTTTGTCCATCCCCAAAGATTATCAACTTCGTAAATGGAAAACCTTACAGATATTTCTCTTTATTTGAGAATTCACACATTTTTACAACAGCCAGGATGCTCCTCAAGAATGTATTCCCCAGCTAGTTCATCACACAAGTTTATTTCCATCAAGCGACATCTCCCTAGAGAAGTCGAGGAAGTTTATCATGTTAGTCTCTCTTTATTCGAGAAGACATACTTTACAATTCAACCGGCTCACATCTCTCCCGAAGATCCCCAGTGAAGTTTTGCAACTCCAGTACATTATGGCCTACAACCGAAGTTCTACAATGACATCTACAATCTACAACGATTCTACAATCTACAAAATTTTCAATCCCCTGTGAAGATGCTCTCATGAGTTTTCATCATTGCAGGAAGAAACTGAGACCCGTTCATGGCACCCAGACCATGAGGCGTGGGGAGGTTTATTTCAAAAACTGAGACCCGTTCATGGCATCCAGACCATGAGGCGCGAAGAGGTTATTTTCAAAACTGAGACCCGTTCATGGCATCCAGACCATGAGGCATGGGGAGGTTTATTCGAAGACATCCTTTTCCTGGCTAATCTCGGTAGTAGATTTCCAGAAGACCTCGGCAGTAGGTATTTTCTCTCTTTTCCTGGCTAATCTCGACAGTAGATTTCCAAAAGACCTCGGCAGTAGGTATTTCTATTTCATTTCCTGGATAATCTCGGCAGTAGATTTCCAGAGGAATTCGTCAGAAGTATCTCTCGAGCAAAATTCAACACAGAATCTCGGCAGTAGATTCCTTACAAATTTTAACAGTACATACTTTGGCAAAAGTATTCTCAATTAAACTTACAAGTCTCAGCAGTAGACTTCTCCAACTGATATCTTGAAATCAATTACATTTGACCTATACAGTAGATTCCTCAAGAGGATTTCTCACCAAGTTCTTCACAACACATTTACAGACACTTTGTGATTGACAATCTTTCCCCGTGGAGTCTCGCTTTATTGAGCCTGTTCTTCCCGTGTGTCGTGTCTAGCTTCTCCCCTGTGACGTCATTTCCCCACAGGAGCTATGTCATTGCATATCATTGCATATCATTTGCATTCGGTGGCTTCTTAGGGGCAAAAATTCGTTCTATGTTTGTATTTAAGTCCCTCCTATATCGTCGAGACGAAGATTCCAATCTCCATATCTCCGGATAGAAGCAACTTAAATAGGGGCATCTGTCGCACCCTAATTTTTGACCTTAAGATCACACCTCCTTGCGCATCCTTTGCATAGCATTTTATCCCAATCTTTCCCGCTTTAGCTAACCGTTTTAAGCATTTTGCTTATTTTTTTCGTAAATGTAGGTTGCAGCAGAAAATTCAGAGATCATGAAGACTCCGCGCTTACGATTATCTGGATTTTTAATCCTCTACAAAATATGTTGATTACCAGTTAAGATGAAAGAAAAGATATCAATTCAAAATGCTTAAACTTCATGGTGTACCACTACAAAGGACTTTTATTTTCAAATTACTAAGCTCGGTATCATCGCTGGCCCTTTGAGTCATAAGAGTTGGATTTATTGTGGGATTTGAAATATGTTAAGGTGGTGAATCAGTCAGTACATATTGAACCAGATTTTATCAGGAATTTCTTAATAAATCTTTATTTTGTTCTTCAAAGGAAAGTCACTTTTGTGCTCTATGTTATAAAATTGCAAAATCCAACCCAAATTGGATGTGGTTCCCATGCGTACTACATTGAGTAGGGCCAGAGGTTGTCATTTTATGGGATAATCCAGTTACATTCGGGTAATGAAGATAGGTGCTACTAAATAATAGCTATTTTGGGACCTTGTATGATTGGGAGACATTGCATTGAAGTTGAGTCAATAATGAAATCCTCATACAAATTCATATCATTCAAATTCAAAGCTCTGTACAAAACAAGTTCAAGGTCCAAGTGTTACTAAAAGGCTAGAATCCATATGCGAAAACTCAAACATGCTATTACATACAAGAATTAATAATCCGCTGTCAATATAACTTTGATCATTAAAGCAACGAGTACATAACCCCACGGTGGGGAACTATAACAACTGATGCTTGAATTCGAAAGGCTCGCAAAACCGATTCAGTTTATCATATTGGGAGCATGATGGAGGGTGCTGAGCGTAGTTGTTCCGAAGGCTACAAACATCTAGTATGACTGCCACCAAGTTCCAGATCATTGGATTCCTTCAAAAATGAATAGCAGCTTGGCGCGGCCCATGGGTGTTTACGACGCAAAGCCTTTCAAACTTCCAAAGATCACGCCTATGCCACCTGAATAAGTCCTCGAGAAAACAAAACATATCAGTTGGAGTATTCAATATAATCTACCAAATAACCACAAGTCCAGAATAACAGTTTGAATTTATGTTGAACTCCATTACCATTTCGATTACTTCCTATTACAAATTTACAAGGCTTCAAAAAATCATAAAATAAGAATAAACATGGAAAGCCTAACAGGTCATTTCAAGCATTTGATTACCACAAGCTTAATTCTATCAAGACATACTCGGCTCCTAAGAACGATGTGTTGCTAGATGAGTGTTCTTCCTTACCCAGCCAAGTCAAGAATTTATTGTTTTGAAAAAACAAGGAAACAAGAATGTATCCATTACCGACACGCTCGCCATCCGCTGAGAATCGTTATTATGGCTCACGTATTTAAAACTGCATATTATCATGGAATAAGGCCAGGGAATTTTTTTTAACCGAAAAGAACCGTATAAAGGTAACACAGAGCTCACCAGAGTGCGAAAATGGTGCCATTAAAAGTGGTCCTCGTGTTTCGGAGGATGGAGACATATGTCACAAAGTGCAGCGCCGTATGCATTCCCCTGACCAAGATCATGCGCAGAACAGGAAGGAGCACACACTGTCAAACTGTTACAGTTACCATCTGTCAAAATCTGCAAGAACCTAACGGCATAAGACGCCCCTGCAAGAAAAATCGAGCGGTTTAGATTATGAAAGTACATGATACAACTCCTAGATTTAAGCATTTGTTTAAAATTCAGCAAAAGCAACCAATATATGTTTGGAGGAAGGAGACCAATGAAGAATTCATCTATGACAAAGACAACATAGAAGTCGCATGAAAACCAGAAATTACCATAAGACGCTAGAAGGAGTTCGCAGAGTTTGAGCCGAAAAAGCATAAGATGAGCACCGATTCAGCTACTCCTTTCACAAAGGCGAGAGTCCATGATCATAAAAGCAGAACCTCCCTATCACAACTGCGTTTCGTCACCTGCAGGTCAAACACGGCAAGTTGATTCCATGCAGAGCATCAAAAGAAATTAGGTGCTACTATGTGTGATTCTATTCAAACGGTCTCGCTTCAGATTTAGGCTATATTGTCCAAGTTCAAGTGAATTCTTTACCTCAACTGTAAAAACATGATTCCCAAGAGATTAAGGCGACTTCAGAATGATAGCAACTCGAATATAGCAGGTTATCGTCGGTCTGTTAAAAGAAAAGAAAAAGAAATGAGAAGGATGTTAATAAAGGCATTCTCTTTCCAGCAAATAAATCAACACGGTTCGAAAAACAAGCTTACTTGGTTGCATCTGAAGGAAAAAGGTAACAAGTCGGTGGCATTTTGGTCGTGTTACTCCAGCTGAAGAGGGAGTTTAGCAGCGATTTTCATTTACTTGATTTGAAGTCACGATCCACTGCAGACAAAACAACATTAACGGTACCAAACCTTCCACGCCACTCCATCCGCCGACTTCAGCATTTCTTGAGTACCCCGAAATGCCAGCTTTGTTTCATTCCAATTCGAAACAAGACTTCAAGAGTTCCAACCGCCAAGTTTGATTTCCTCACCTGGAAACAATCAGGGATATTAATTCAACGCATTCGAGGAACATGCAATTTGAATTGCAAATTTGGAATAAGTTTAAAGCATGTCCAAAACCAGAATAGAAGGCTTTGAAACGCATTCAAGACATTTTATTTTCTTCCCAAAACAGAAGCATATTCCAAATGGATATGGACAGCATTAAGCCCGCTCATGGCTAATCAATTTGTTTCCAAACACATCCAACACGTTTACTCTAAGAATGGCAAGAATAAAAGAAAGAATCAACAACTTTTGATTCGAGAAATCAATTTGTCGATTCGGTTGAGGCTATAAAACCATGTCCACGGTTTAAAACAAAAAAGACCCTCTGCAGAGAAATTCAAAAAAACATCAGAAACCCCAAATAAAAAAAGGAAGAGGACTTATCTCGTGTTCTTCCTCTGTCCTCAACCATGAGTTCATCAAACCCTCGATGTAGAACTCCTTCAACTTCATCCGACCGCGCACGTCGCCGGAAGAGCCGCGAACCATCGCCGCGAAACCCTCACGCCGGGACCACCACAAAGCCCTTGCCACGAAGCCGTCACCGGAGTTTCTCGAGTCACCCTCCTTCGCCATTTCCATCCACGAAGCATCAAAGAATCCTTTTGAAGCCATCGCCGCTGTCAAACATCGAAAAGCCCTGCCAGAGATAAGAAACCATCTTAAATCATGAGCTTTTCTTACCACTTAACATTTTTATGTTTCATTTGTGTAGGACAGAAACGGAAAGGATGGTAGAAGAAGAAAATCATAGCGAGAGAGGTGAATAAGAATCGACGGAGAACAATGGAGAAAGAGAACGATGGCGGAATCACAGAGAGAGAGTGGAGATGAGGGGATCGGCGGAGAACGAAGAGGAAAGATAGAGGGGAAAGAGGGGAAATTTGGGGCTTAGGATTTAATGTCCATTTTGTTTGTTATACAATTAGATGTACACACACCCACCATAACTCACGTACGCCTTCACATTATCACCACACACTCTCACCGATCAGGATCCAACGAGCCATATCATGCAGACCACCATAGGTCACACAAACCATACACGCACGATCATTCCGCCCACTAACCTTTTTTTAATTAGCACTTAATTAACCCCCTCCTTAAATCGTTAGGTCATCCTAATTAATCACTTTTTAATTAACTACATCAAACAGTTTTTTCATATAATTAAAAAACTATTAATCCTTTTAATCAATTAACCTTTAATCAAATCCTAATCAACCTTTTTTTAAAAATTAACCAATGCCTTTTCTCTATTATTATTTATTAGATCCTTTTACTTAAAATAAGTTTAGTAACTTTTTTATAAAAAAAAAGAATAAATCAATTTGCTTATCCTTTTTATTTTTGAACTAATTTTCAAAATAATAATAAAACAACCTTTTTTTTATTCAAATTAACTCTATCATGTTATGATAACTAATCCATTCCATTTAATAAAACCTTTTTTTCTCAAATTTATATTAATTAAAATTCTTTCTATTAAAATCTAATTAAATTAGAATAAGACGACTTTTACTAAAAATTAAATATAACTTTTTTTCTCAAAGACAATCCACCTAAGAAACTTTTATTAAAACTAATATAACCTTCGCCTAAAATCAACTCACATCGTAATTTAATCAATCGCTTACACCTCACACATTCACCATTCACATTATTTACAATTCACACACTTAGCGCTTTCATGCGTTCATGTATGCTTTACTTTATCTGCTTTTACTTTACTCGCAATTTATATTTACCGCATTTACATTATCGCAATTTATATTCTCGCATCGCATTCCGTCCGAAGGAAGAACCTACGCATGACTTAAACAATCGTGCGTATGCATTTCATTTGCATCATACTCCCTTCGATCCTTGATCCCATTCAAGTTGATCCCTTAAGACAGATCCTACCCATAGGAAGGACCTTTCATCTTTACAACATAGAAATAAAAACAATTCAATAATTCAAACATTATTCAAACACAATAGAGAATAAGATGTTAATCATCTTAAGCGAGGTAAAACTCCTGCCCCATATCAATACAATCAATGTGTAGGGACTTTTCCGCTTAAGAGTGATAGAGGCGTACTTGTTGACAATCCGAGTACTTAAGCCCTTCTCTTAAAGTGATGCAAAGACTATTTTCCTACAATTTGTGGCGGCTAAAGTTGAGTAATATCCCTTAAAATGACAACTCATCTTTTCTCCTAAACTCAATCAATCAACTACCCTAATCCCGTAGGAACTTTGGCCACAGTAAAAAAACTCATCAAAACCTTTAAGGGAACTACAAATACTCTGATTCCACTCCCGTAAAGATATGTAGACATAAGATGCAATATCTTATTGAGTATACTTAGAAATAAACCCCTAGGTCTTTTATACCTTAAGCAGATAACCCTTAGCAATAAACAACATAAAACAAGAGGTTCCTGTAGAGTACTATAGAAACTTAGGATGCTAGTACCTTCCCTAAGTTTAACCAACCCCCGAACCTAAAACTCTCTAGCTTGCATTTGCATTGCATTGTGAGAATTTCGATCTTTATCCCTTCCTTTGGACAAATCAAATACCGGTTGCAAATGAATTAAAGATTCAAGTTAATTAATAGTTTGATATCCAAATTTCACCGCGACACTGCCAATATGGAAAAATGCACTTCTTACCCTTTAAATCTTATTCATTTCATGCTAAGGAACCACTTGAATTGGTTCACACCGATGTATGGGGTCCTGCACCAATAATGTCATCTTCTAGTTTCAAATATTATGTGCATTTTGTTGATGATTTTAGTAGGTTCACCTGGATTTATCCTTTAAAACAAAAGTCTGAAACTGTGCAAGCTTTCATTCAATTTAAAGCCTTGGCTGAAAATCAATACAATAAGAGAATCAAAGTAATTCAGTGTGATGGTGGTGGTGAATACAAACCTGTACAGAGACTTGCAATAGAAGCTGACATAGGCTTTAGAATGTCTTGTCCTTATACCTCTCAGCAAAATAGAAGAGCTGAGAGGAAACACAGACACATAGCTGATTTTGGTTTAACTCTACTTGCACAAGCTCAAATGCCATTCTAATATTGGTGGGACGCATTCTCCACTGCAGTATACCTTATAAATGTAACAGCTCAATTTTATTAATTAATTATTTATAGTAATTAATTAATTTATTTGGATTATTTTAATTATTGGAATTATTGATAGATATTTTGAGAGAAGATTTTGGAGAGAATTAGAAGGGAAAGACATATAAGAGAAAAGTGGAAAGAAAAGGGAAAGATAGAAACATAAGAGAAAGAATAGAGAAAGAAGGAGAAAGAGGAGAAAAGAGAAGGAGAAGAAGGAAAAACTTGGAAAAGCTCAAGAACAACTTCTAGCTCCGATTTAATCAAGGTAAGGGTGTGAATATCATTATCTTATCAATGTATGTGATTATGTATGGATTGTTTGAGTTTGTTTGAGTGTTTTTCTCCATTTTTCCATTCTAGGGCATAAAGGGTTTAATCGATAGAATCGAGTTTTGAACGGTTAGAATTGGAAATAAATTGTGTAGTTTAGTCGGGTAATGTATAGCCGTGATTATTGGATTTCGTTTGATTGAATTTGGTTGAGTTTGTGAGTTTTGACATTTTTGGATAATTGAGGGTTTGAGATTTGAGTGAAAATCGGACGTCGTAGAAATCGTGTTTAATGGTTCTAATTCACTGCCATATGTTAGGTGAGAATGAGTATGTGTTTGTTTCGAAAAAAAAGAATTGAATCGGTCGGATTTTGGAGCAAAAATGCAAATTCCCGTAGCCGTTTTTAGGCAAAATTCTGGTTTTTCGGAAAACTTCGAAAATTCATATCTCTTGAACCGTAAGTCGGTTTTGACCCTCGTTCGAAGCGTTGGTAAGTTAACGAGATGCTCTTTCTAGAAAAAATGGCTTTGAGGCCTGTACATGATTCAATTATAGCAGAAAATTGAAAACATAATGTTGTGTTGATTTTTACCGTCACAAATGTGTGTGATTGATATGTTATTGTGCATAATACTTTTGTTATATAATGTATAGCTTGTGCATGTTGTGATATGATATGCTGTGGGTAGCCGTATGGCGTGAATCCTAGATGGTGGAATCGATTATGAAATATAGTCTTTTGGTAAACATATGCATTGTTTAAATTGATTAAAAGTGTATGATTATGTGATGGAGTTCGTTGCCGTTTGGCGTGATATTGTGAGTGCATTTGATTCGTATGCGATTGTATGTGAAGCACCATGATATATATTCTTATTCATTACTTGATAAATGAAATGATGATGTGTGAAAGT